CCTAGCCCTCTTGCCTCTTCAATTTTTATTTTGGACAAAGGCCCTCTGCTCTCAAGTATACTTGATGCTTCTGAGGCACAGGTTCCATCTGGGCAAATGCCCTCTGGTCTTAAATGTACTTGACTCTTCTGAAGAACAAGTTCTTGTTCTGAAAGAACAAGTTTAGATACTAAAATTAACTTTGTTTTTAAAATCCACATTATATGCTGGACTGTTGTTTTTCTTACAGCTGATCTTCAAAGAGTGTGTTCAGTTCCTAAATACATACAGCTTTCTTGCACATATGTTTATTTTTTGTTTCTGCTGAGAATATACACAGCAAAACAAACACCAACGGTGTCCACATGAACAATTTACTGGCATTGGCTTTACTCTTTGAGTTATGCAACCACTCTAGTCCTCCTCTTCTGAGTTCTTCTTTCTCACTAACATAAACTCCATGCTATTGTTGTCAGTTTGATGCATATATAAAATCTTCAAAGAACATAATTCTCAAGGCAGACGTTTTTAATTAGTTAAGCTATTGTTTGTTTTTAAGTAGACTTTAGAGGATGTTTTGGTTTAAAAGTTTAAATTTTATCTTCAGAGCAATAGTATATATAATTTTTAATGGATATTCATCCTGGCCCTCCATACTGATTTCCATTACCCTATCAGAACATAATGTGCAATACTTCATGATGAAAGCCTTGGTAATGTCAACATTTAGCACTGTTATCTCCATACCCATATCCTAAATTTGACCTTTCCTAACTATATTTCTGTTCAATCAAAAATACACTGTATATAATTCTATATTGTTCTGCATTATGTGCTGTGAATTAGAACAGATAATAACAGAACACTTCTTGTACATTTACTGTAAGTTGCAAGAATTCATGATACTTGCTTTAAATGAAACTGTATGCTCAAGTTAAGTACTATGGCTTTTCACAGATAGTGAGTTACACAACCTATTTTACTTTAATTTTAATGATGTTAGTCTAGAGACAAAGGTGTACCTAATCCAGGCCATGGTCTTCTCAAGCATGAATAAAACAACTGCATAAACAAAGGGTACTATTTGATGGCAATAACATAGTGAAAAAGTCTAGATTATCAAGAATATTTACATAGTTAATCATGCACATGGATTAACTGGAATAAATTACAAAAAATTCTTTTTAAATTCTAATAACAGGGTTCTGCTATGTTTACTCATATTAGAGTAAAAATTTATAAAATATTCAATAAAAAATATATTACTCACATATTAACTTCATCTTCATTTAACAACTGCATCACTAGCAGAGTAATATGAAATGAACCATCTCCGACCATTGCTTGAGCCAACCGCTTATCCTGTTGTATTACTTCATTTTGCAGGATCTTCATTCCTTTTATAATCTACTCAAACACAACACAAAAAATAAAGAGCAGGTAAAATTTCCTATGACAAAATGTAAATAAATAGAAAGTAATAAACAATCAAAACTAAAGCAATGTCAACATTCTTCCTAGACAAATGCTTACCTGCTTGTATGTGTGTTCTGAGGTATCCTGGACCACCGACATGGCAGGCTTAATGTAATCCAGAAATGTTTAAAAATCACTCAACCTTTGCCCAATGAAATAATACCATAGCCACCACTCTCATTTTATAGATGTGAATTATTGACTGAATGTAAAAAGTTATCTTTTCAAATACTTATCCTTGGAATCATGACTTTGGGTCATTATAAATGTGATCTTTCCTAAAAAGGCTTCATTTTTTAATTATTCTAGTTTATTTACAAAATTAAAATTAAAAAACACTGCTACTGGGGTGAGATAATATCTCATTGTGGTTTTGATTTGCATGTCTCTTATTGCCAGATTTTGAGCATTTCTTCATGTGTCTGTTGGCCATCCTGAAAACTCTTACTATGTCTTTTGCCCATTTTGTAATTAGGTTATCAGTCTTTTTTTTCTGGAGGCCCTACAGTATTCTGTAATCTTCTGTTAGGAGACTCTTGTCTGAGATGGTATTACCAAATGTTTGTTCCCAGTCAGTAGGCTTTCTTTTCACCCTGCTGGGTAACTATTTTGATGCACACATTGATTTAGTCTTTAGAAAGTCTCATAATCAATGTTATCCTCTCCAGATTGTGTATTTCTGGCTGTATTTGTCAGCCTCTTTATACCATAGGTTAGGCCTTCTAAGCTTAGTCCAGTTTGTCTCTTAAGAATTTTATGGCTTTTGGCTTTACCCCTAGGTCCTGACCTACCTTGAATTTATTTTTGTGTATGGTGTCAGATGTGGATCCTATGTCAGGTTTTTGCAGATAAACAGTTCAATTTTGACAGCACCATTTGTTGAAGAAGTTGTTGTCTACCATTTGATAGATTTTATTTCCTTGTGGAATATCAGTTGACCACAGAGAGATGGACCTACTCTGGGTTCTCAGTTTTTGTTCCATTGGTCTATATGCCTGTCATTGTACCAGTACCATGCTGTTTTGATTATTAGAGCTGTGTGATAGGTTTTGAGGTGAGGGACTGCTATACCTCCCACTTCATTTTTGTTTTTCAGAAGTGCTTTGTTTCAGACAACAGAAAACTACACAGCACTCAGGAGCAACAATTCTGAAATATCCCATATAACTTGGGAGAGACTGGAGAGCACCATGCTAAGTGAATAACAAATTCAGTCTCATATGGACAAATACTGTGTAAGATCATTATTGTAATAATAGGTCACCGGCCCCTTCAGCATGGACGGAAGATGGTGTCTGCCACTCGCATTGTCCAGTGACTGCTGAACTGAGCATCCAGGCAAGACCTTCAGGTGAAGGTGCAACTGTGCTACCAGGATATCTCCAAGCGAACCCAGCCTCCACCCAAGCTCCCCGTGGGCCCCAGCTATAAGCTCTCCAACAACTACTAACTATTGCACTCGCGATGGCCCTCGGTCATCATGTTCTCCCAGAAGGCAATGGAGTCAGGCAAGCCACAGAGAGCTCAGTGATGGCTGCTGAGAAGAAGGCAATGACACTGGCCCCTCCAGTGAAGCTATGGGAGCTGTCCCGGGACCAGCCCTACTTGTGACCGTGCACCCAGTACCCCTGGCTGTGCGCTCAGGACACCTGACCCTGCTTTGCCTCTAGGATTGTGACCTAATTTATGAGAAATACATCGAGCTCCATGAAAGGGGGGAGAAAAAGGATAACTAGTAATACATGGACAGGGATTACAAGGCGGGAAGGGCGGGAGTAGAGGAGTGAGGATGGATAAGGGGAAAATTGATGTCCTAGTTGTTAAAATTTTGGATTGATTTATATTGTAATATATTGCAATGAAAAATAAATACTAAAAGATTGAAAAGAAATTTAGAACCCCCGATACTTTATGGACAATTCAACTTCCTATAGGATCATTTAGGGAATTCTGGTGGCCTCGTGGGTAAGAAGTTGCACTGACAACCCAAAGGCAGGCAGTTCAAGTGCACCAGCTGCTCCATGAGAGCAAGGTGGGCAATCTTCTCGATTGCAATTTATAGCTTCTAAACACCCACCGGAGGGTCAGCTATGAACTGGTTCTGACTTGATGGCAATGAACAGGAGTCGTACAGGATCCCTATGAGCATGCATCTATATGATGGCAGTGAGTTTGGTATAGTGGATTTGGAGCAGCAAAAGTAGTAAGAGAAATCAAAAAGAGAAAGCTGAAACTGAATTAGAGTCAATTAAAAGACAAGCTCAGGACAGGACAGGACAGGACAGGACAGGACAGGAAAGGAAAGGAAAGGAAAGGAAAGGAAAGGAAAGGAAAGGAAAGGAAAGGAAAAGAAAGGAAAGGCAGTTAGCTCTGAGAGCCTAGTAAAAAGAAGAGTCGAAAAAACCTTGAATCTTGAGCAGAGAACATTCCCACACCCGAGTAGCAATTTTATCTTGAACATTGTTTCTGTAATCTATGAAATGTGACCAGGCAAATCATGAGATGCTCTCTTGGATCGGACCTCTCCATTGTACCAACTTCAGCATTTCTCTATTCTCTTCCATCTAGAAGACATTCACAGAGGAACCAGTGTTTTGTTGATACAAAGTTATTTAAAAGATCTTAGAACAATATTTCCCAAGACAATCTGTTACTTGTATGACACTCAGTAAAAGACTATTGATAGACTGCTACATAAAACATTCCTAATACACTAGTTTCTAAGAAGTCTTAATAGGAGTCCCAGTTCCTTCTACTCTGTTGTTGAGTACCACTGAGTTCATATAAATATGTTGTTGTTGTTGTAGTTGTTATGTGCCATCAAGTCAACTATGACATATAGTGACCCTATACACAATAGCCCTGAATCCTGCTCTATCCTGAGCCAATCTCACACTCTCTGACACACCTACCCCCATTACCTGAGTTACTGTGTCAACCCATTTCATCTGGACTCTCCCTCTCCTGTGCTGTTCCTAGATCCTTCCAAGTATGATATCCCTCTCCAAGCTCTAGTTTTTCCTGGCAACATGACCAAGGTATGTGAGACGGAGCTTCAAAATCCTTGTCGCCAAGGAGCAGTTTGGTTTCACCCTCTTCAGGACAGACCTGTTAGTTCTCTTGGCAGTACACAATATGTTCAATACTCTGCTCCAGCACAACTCATATGCATCAACTCATCTTCCATCATCTTTGGTCACTGTCAGCTCTCTGATGCATAGCAAGCAATTGCGAAGAAAATGGTGTGGATCAGGTGCACCTTGGTCTCAAGACTGACATTCTTGCTCATCAGCACTCTGGAGAGGTCCCTGACAGCAGATTTTTCTAATTTTTCATTTCATGACTGCTGGTGCCAAGAGTTTTGATTGTGGAACTGAACAAGCTGAAATTGTTAAGAATCTCAATTTCTTCTCTATCATGGCGGGGTCAATTGGCCCAGTGATGAGATTTTAGTTTTCTTGATGTTGACCTTCAATCCATTATTGCAGACTACAGCAAATGCTTTCAGGCCCTCAGTTTCAGCAAGTAAAGTAGTGTCATCTGCATAACGCAGGTTGCTGATGAGTCTTCCTCCAATCCCAATCCCAATTCCTCCTCAAAAAGAACAGCATCTCAAAATATCAGCTCCACAACAGACTGAATAGGTATGGAGACAGGACTCATCCCCAACACATTCTTCTCCTGTTTTGAACCATATAGTGTTCCTTCACTGTGTTCTGACGACTGCCTCTTGGTCCAAGTATAGGTTTCCCATGAGCACAATTAGGCGTTTTGGGATTCCCATTCTTCTCAAAGTTAGCCACAATTTGTTGTGATCCACACAGTTAAACGTCTTTGCATAGTCAATGAAACACAGATAGATATTCCTTTGATACTCTGCTTTGGGCCAAGATCCAGCTGCTGTCTCTAGTACTACAGCCTTCTCTAAATCCAGCTTTGTATTTCCGGTATTTCTAGGTCAATGTACCGTTAAAGCCATTTTTGGATGATCTTCAGCAGGATTTTGCTTATGTGTGATATTTTTCAATAATTTGCACACTAGGTTGGATCAGCCTTTTTTTGGAATAGGAATAAATATGGATCTTGTCCAATCAGGTAGCTATGTGGTTGTCCTCCAGATTTCTTGGCACAATTTGGTGAGCATGTCCGGAGCTGCATCTCTTTGCTGAAATATGTCAACTGGTAGTCCATCAGTTCCTCTGGGCCTGGTTTCTTGCCAATTTCTTCAGAGCAGCTTGAACTTCCTCTTTCATCACCATTGCCTCTTGATCGTATGTTGTTTCCATGAAATTCTTTTGTGTCAGCCAATTCTTTTTGGTACAGTGACTCTGCATACTCCTTCCATCTTCTTTTAATGCTTCCTGGACCATTCAGTAGTCTAGCCACAGTATCTTTAAGGATTGCAACTCAAGCCTTCAATATGTTTTTCTGTTTCTTCAGCTTAAGAAATGTCAAGCAAGTTTAGCCCTTTTGATTTTCTGACTCCAGCTCTTTGCACATTTTGTTATACTTTGTCTTGCTTAGCTCCCCTTTGAAATCTTCTGTTCAGCTCTTTAACTTCCTGATTTCTTCCCTTTTGTGTTGGTTTCTTGGCGCTCTAATACAATATTTAGAGTTTCTTTCACATCCATCTTGGTCTTTTCTTCCTCCTTTGTCTTTTTAATGACCTGCATTCTTCAAGGATAATATTTTTACATCCTCCCAGAGCTCATCTGGCCTTTGCTCATTAGTGTACAAGACTGCAAATATGTTCCTGAGATGGTTTCTTCATTCAAGTGGGATAGACTCAAGGTCAAATTTTGGTTCTTGTGAATTTGATTGCATTTTCTCTAACTTCAGTTTGAACTTGCATATGAGTAGTTGATGGTCTGTTCCATAATCAGCACCTGGACTATTGTTCACAGCTGATATTGAGCTTCTTCATTGATTCT